GCATGGAGCACTGGGTGTTATGCACAAACAATGAATCATGGAACACTTCATCTAAAACTAATGATGTAATGTATGGTGATTAACATAAGAATAAAAATAAATAAATAAATAAAAGAAGGACAGGTCAGGTCTGCCCATGTAAGCCCATCAAGAAGCTCAGTGGAACCAAAAGCCCCAGTGACTGAGCAAAAGACAGCAGAGACCTTGAGGTTCCAGACACTCTTTCAGTGGCTCCCAGCCTCCTCAGAAGGCACCAGCCCCAACGAGAAGTCCTCATTCCCAGCACAAACCGGACTCCTTCTAAATGAAACTCCCTTCAACACTCCAGTTTCCACCCTCCGCCCCATCTCTTGCTCACACCTTTCACGGACACTGCTTTTGTCCACCCCTTGGGCTGGAGGTCCTCAGCATTCTGCCTTTGGCCCTCTGCTATGGCTCACTCTGAGCTAGGGATTCTCCAGCCTGGCTGCACATCAGAATCACATGGGGGGCAGGGAGGAGTGTGTTGTTAAAACTCCTGACATCCAGGCTGTACCACATCTTCCTATTAACCAAGCCAAACTGCTAAATGTCAGCTCCACCTGTGGCCCTCCTCACCTACCTGGCCTCGATGAAGCAATTTACCAAGTCTTATACCTACCTACCCAACCTCAACATCTGTGTGTCCTACCCATCCTCCTCAAAATCCTGACCATCTTCACTGCTTTGGTGTGGGTCTTCCCCGCCTCCTACCCAAGCTATGACCACCTTATACTCAATCATTGCCTCTTTCCAGGCTCTTTTCCATCTAAATCATCTTCCATATTATCACTGGAGGAAGGAGTTAACCTGAAACAGCAGTTTTCCATGCTAATGTGGGAGTGGACAAACAAGGACACTTTGGGTGGGGTATAAACTGAAACAGTGTTTTTGGAGGGCAATCTTATAATAACTATCATAATTAAAATGGCATATATCCTTTGACCCAGTCACTCCACTTCAAGTAATCTGTTAAGTACACATGCACTTTATGCATAGACAACGGGGCAGGGATATTCACTGCAGCATAGTTTGTAATAGCAAATGTTTGTAACCAACCTCACTGCCCATCAATAGGGAATGGTATAAATACCACTGTAGATCCATTCAGTGGAGTACTCTGGTTATTTCAAAGTAATGATATATGTCTACACGTGCTCATACGGAAAGACAGCCAAGATACATTCAGATATTTACATACAGACTTGCACATACACTGATACATTAAGTGAAAAAAGCAAGGTGAAGGACAGGGTTTATTTTTCTTAACAAGGTTGCTGGTCTTTAGGGAGTGAAAGTAGGTTTCCGAAATAAAGTAGAAGGACCCTTATTTTCAATATTTATCCTTTGGTATTTGGATTTTTTTTTTTTTTTTTTTTACTTTGTGATGGATTACTGATTATTTGGGGGTACTGAGCAAAGGGAGATTTGCACATGTAGCTATGAACTTGGTGATGAAATTAGTAATTGGTACAAAGAAAACCAAGTAAACCACAAGCGTGAAAATTAACATCAAAAACAAAAAGTTGTTCAACAAATGAAATTTAATTATAGAACACTATGGCCCAGCTGTGAATATTTATATTGTCATAATAATATAAAAACTGACTAGTGATCTGTACAAAAAATATGCTATATTGTGAAGCTAGGATAAAGGTAAGCGTATGTCTATTGGAAAGGCACAGCAGGGAACAAGAGACTTCAATCCTTATCTTCTATAGTAGAATGTCTATTGATAACTAAAATTGTAAAATCAAGAAAGTGCAGTGTAAGTATCTTATTTGGAAATACAGAAATAAATTGGGAAAACTACTGGAAGAATTGAAAGTGGCTGCCTCAAAGGCACAGAAATCAGGAGTAGGGACAGATGGGGGCCACACTACTTAAATCCTCAAACTATGTGCATACATTAATTAAAAAAAAAAAAACTTTTAAGAGTAAGGGGTAACCAAAACTACCATTCGCATTTTGGGTAGGGCCTGACTCTACTCCCTGGGACCTGGCCTACATGTTACGGACACGGACCTGCTGTATTGGAGCTGGGGTGTAGTAAGGACTGTCTAGCCTGAAAAATCTCCCCAGGTGTCCCGATGCCTCTTTCCTGCCAATATCCTTCAGACCATCGACGGCTTTCACAGGCCTCCAAGACTAAATCCAAACTCTTTAGCAAGAAATACAGGCTCATCTGAGCTAAACCCTTAGCTTTCTTATCCTCCCTAGTTCTGCTTTTACCTGCCCTTGCCTGCCCATATTGACTACAGTTCCTAGAAGGTGTGACACGTAAGAGAAAATAGCTAACTTATCATGAGTAGCTTCTCTCTGACCACACTGTTTCCTCTACCAGATCCCCCTTCTGCTGCTAACTTACAAGTGTTGAGGTACCATGTGCTGACTGTTCCCAACCAGACCTCAAACCCCAACACTATAATCCATACCCAACTGTCTACCTGACATCTCCCCTTGGATAGCTAATAGGCTTCTCAAACTTACTGTCCAAAATGGGAACCCTGACTTCCCCCCGATCTTGCTCCTAAGCCTTCCCCGTCTCAGCAACCACCTGGTTGTTCAAGTCAAAACTCTAGGGATCATCCTTGTTCCTCCCTTTCTCTCATCCTGAGCATCCAACTCATTAACAAACTTTGCTGTTTCAACCTCCAAAATGTATCTCAAATCGTTCTCTATTTCCACTGTTACCATCCTGGACTATTGCAACAGCATCTTCCCAGGGCTCTTCTTCCTGAATTATTAATCAGATCACATCACTTACCTGCTTAAAACTTTCCAGTGGCTTCCCCTATTGCTTTTTCAAATAAAATCCAAATTGTTTTACCTTGAAGTAGGAGACCTGCATGATATAATGCCTGCCAGCTTTCCGACCTCATTCAGCAGTGAGGGCACTTAGAATCACCTCCCGGCGGGGGCGGGGGGGGGGTCTACCCAGCCCAGCACCAAGAATAGAAGTTTCTCTCCCCCGTGTCCCTGGGAGGTAGCTTTCTGTTTTTAAGAAGACACAAAATTTGAACAAATGGAATTGACACCTGGTCAGTCCTAGGTGGGAATGGGAAGGTATCTTAGCTACACCACCAAAAGCCTTCCTTTTCCTAGTCTGTCCCACAACAATGTCTACCAATTCACTGGGGGATTTCCATTGTAATTTCTCCATCCATCTACCCTCACAACCGCCCACCTAGACCAGATTAAAGAGGTTACACCACCTGCATACACACACAGCATCCCCACACACCTGGAAAGAGGCCGAGGCTATTCCTGTAGGAGCACTCCTGCCTCCACAGCCCACAGGGGGAAAGTCTGGGCTCCACCAACAGGGAGAATGTAGTGTGGTTTTTAGAACATGTTTATCAAGCAGGTAAGTCTGTGGCAGACTTGGCCTGAGCTCTGGCACATCCACTGCAGCCCCTCTAGTCCCCGGGGAGCTTTCTGAAAGCACCAGGGCTTCGCTATCTCTTCTCCAGTCAGTGGTTGATTTTAGAAGCCCGAAGATGATGAAACGATTTACTGTCTTCATAAGGAGGACAAAACACAGCGGCTTCTGGAGAAAATGGGGGAAGCCGGTGACCCTGAATTCTTTACGTTCAGAAAAGCGCCCTTATTAATCTAAAACTATAATAAAATACAAACAGTGCTTTGCAGATAGCAAAAACTGCATGCCCCCTAAATAATTAAAAACTGCTTCTTGAAGGAATCTACTGTCAACAGTGCCTAAGCACTTGTGTGTGTGCCTGGAACTGAAAATGGATCTGTATTTACTCTAGTTTCTACAAATATTTCCCGGATGCGGAGAAGTAGAGGGGAGGAGAAGATGAGCTACTGTCGACATACTGACTGTGTCTCAAGGCACCCTCGCTGGGGAACCAAGAAGCCACCTGATGTAATCTCACACAGGCTTGGGAGGTTCACAGACCTGGGGCTGCACCCTGCCTTCGCTACTTACTGTCTGCCCTGGGCAGGTCCCTTCACTTCTCCAAACCCCAGTTTCTTTGTCTATAACTTGGGGATATCACCCCCTCCTTACAGCGTTGCTACAGGAATTTACGGAGCTAATGGAGGTGGACAGTTTAAGGCCTGCATGTCCCCAGCACGTGCTGGGGAAATGATAGCTCCTATTACATTATTATGCTCGTGAGTAGCAGCCATCCTGAGCCCATTACTAACCTCCTGCCGTCCCCCTTCTGGGCTTTCGCCCAGTGCTCCACCTGGGCCAGGCTGCTCTTCTTCTGGCTGTGCTTTTCAGCGTTGTTCCTGGGAGGAAAGGCCCGTTGATACCCGCCGGTCCCGTTCTGCTCTCCTGGGCCATACATGGCAGGCAGCACCCCATTCTTCTCTGCCCGCTGGGGCTGTGCTTGCTGGCCTCTCAGGCCACCAGGTAAGTCCACGAACAAGGCGTCCTCCTCAGCCGGTGAATACGGGGACCTGGCCTTGCTCCTGTCCCGCTTGCCCTCCAGTGGGTCCCTCTGGGAACGGTACCGTTCTTCCTCTTGCTCCCGCCTCTCAAAGCCAAAGGAATCCTCATGGCTTCGATGAGGACAATCCCTCGCGTGTCCAGGTCCCACGCGGCCACACTCTTGACAGGACTCAGTGTGGTTGGCCTGGGGGACCGCCTGCCGCTCCACCTTCTCCACATCCCTGCAATGACAGAGCCACATTCAGCCCATTCCAGACAGCACTACGGGCAGCCAAGACTCCCCAGAGAATACACTCTATACTCGAATTTCCTCCAGGCCTTTGCATGGGCTGTTCCCTCCGCCTGGAATACCTTTCACACCTAGTCCCTCATTCTTCCTGCCTGACTTCTACTCCTTTGGGACCTGGGCTACATGTTACCTCCTCTAAGAAGCCACTCCAGTCACACACTCCCACTCTAGACTGGGACCTTAGCTGACTCCACCGTCACACTAACCACACTGGGCCATAACTGTGTTTACTCATCTAACGCCCAAGTAGACCATGAGTTCCCTCAGGCCAGAGGCCCATCTGGCCAATTACAATATTCCCAGAACTTCTATGCAATGACTGGTATAGAGTAGGTGCTTTATAAATACTACTGAATGAATAAATGATACATGTGACAATCTCATGCCTTTCCCTTTTGCTCTATGTCCATCTGTCTGGGGCAGTCCAGCTTGGATAGAAGGCTCCCGAGCCCAGGGTCTCTCCCACTGACATCTAGCATAGCCCAAAGGACAATTAGCGCATAATTAACATTCTCCCAAGATGCTGAGCAGAGAATGAACAGGCTCAGCAACCTCTTTAGATGACCTCTTACCTACTGCTCAAACAGGAACACAAGAACACAACAATCTTCTGAAGTATCACTAGTCAGATTTTAGAGATAAGGAAACTGAGGCACAGAGAAGATAAATGATTTTTTTTTTTTTAAAGATTTTACTTATTTATTTGACAGAGA